GGCCAATGGCGGCTTCAGATTGTAGAACATCGCCTGCCGACTGCCCCGAGAACCCCGACGACGCCCCCAAGGGGGCCCCAAGAAGCCCCGAGACGCCCCTCAGGAATCACTCAGGAGGCGCCTCCAACAGCCACTCGAGGAGAACCCCCCAAACGCCCTGCAGAGGCCCCCACCAAGTCCCAAGAGGTTCCCAGGAGGCCCTCAGGAGGCGCGACTATTTCACGTGCCTGTGCTTGATAGCGCTGTCCAAGATCATTTTTCGCCCCCCCCCCCGGCTTGGGCTGGAACTTGAGCGCGCGCGAAGCGCGCGCGATGGTTCTAGTTTGTACATTCCTGTTCTACGTGTCTTGATCATGTCGGTATTCTCCGCCCGTCCTGCAAACGCGCGTGCTCAAAGTGCTAGATGCTAGAGGCCCGCCTCGGGCGTGCGTGGAGGCCCTCTGGGCTACGGCGCCCTCTGCGCTGAGGCTGCTGGGGGCCGCGGTGCTACGCTGCCCCGCCTCTCCAGGCAGCCCGATTGCCCCTGCCCCGCGGTCTGCCGCGCCGTGACCTGCGCAGGGCCCGCCAGCGCCAGTCAGATCTCGGCGCGGCAGCACGACTGGATCGGGCTCTCGGCGGCGGGCGTTCCTGAGCGGGATCGCTCTGCTCCGTGGCTGGGGCTACTGGCAGGCCGCGAGGGCGCGACGAGGCGCTGCCTCTCGGTTCAGTGGCGACTCCCTGGGGTATGCGAGCGAAGCGATGGATTGCCCCCTCGATGTGAAGGAGTTTCAGGTCCTCGTGAACTGCCCTGACGTTGACGACGGCTTCTACTGGCACGTGCGGATCTTGTTGGTTCGCGCTGGCGGAGCAGGGGTCTGGGTTGCGTTGGCGCCGTCGTTGCATCTGTGCGCCCATGACCTGAGCTCGATTCGCCGCATCGTCTTGGCGCGTAATGCGCCGTGGCCCGCGAGTTTCAACAGAAACAAGATCTCCGGCTTAGATCCATTCTCGCGGGCCGAGTTGAATCAGTTCGCGCAGCTCGCCACGGCCCAAGCCAGGGCTCTGGCCGATGACGACGGGGACGCCGAGGCCCCCGAGATGGTTTGGCTGCGCGCGGGCCCAGGGCTTGAGGCTGGGCGAGGTTATTCCGCAGGAAGTCGTGGATGACCAGGAGCGCTTCACGGAGATTGGTGATTCCGCCGTCGCTGAGATCATCGGCGTCGTGGCCTGGGCCGCTACAGTCAGTGCCACCGATCGCGAGGCCTGGTTGAAAGAGCGGTATATAAGAGGCGGAGAGCGACGACCGCGTCGTTGGCGTTCACTTCGGGAGCGGGAAGCGCCACCTCATGCTGAAGGAGGCCCTTTCGATGTACTCGCAAGTGCAGTACGACGACTGGGGCTGCACTGGGCCGCGCTTGGCAGCGGGGTACCTCGCTATGATTGACCTGGCTGGCGGCTTCGAGGTCTACGAGCGGAACTGGCAGCACGACGCGGGAGCGCACGCGGGCTCGGCGGCCCCGCGCCGGCATCGCTCGGGCGCGGAGACGCTCGGGCTGCTGGTATAGGTCGACCAGGTGGGCGTTCCAACTTGCAGGGCGTCGAGAACTTGCGCTGGCGGCATGTCCAGCTGGAGACGGCGGTTGACCGCAACCCCCCCCGCCCCGACTTCACGGGGCTCGAGGAGATCATGGGAGGCGCGGTCGCAGCTTCCGGCTGTGCCAGCGCCGCGGCCTTCTGCGAGTGGGTCGCTGGTCGTCTGGGGGGCAGGGCGCAGGAGCTCAAGCAGGCTCGCCTCGAGAGAGAGAGAGAGAGGGATAGAGAGAGAGAGAGAGAGAGAGAGAGAGAGAACAAAAAAAAAAAAGGAGCGACAGCTACGCGGCCCCGGCGCCGAGCGGCCCCCGACGCCGAAGGCCGACGCGAAACGGAAGACCAAGGGGGGCAAAGGCGACATGGACAAGGAGGGCGGCGGCGCCGCCTCCTTGGAGTCACGACGCCCGTGCCTCGGGCGCGTGGCCTTCGCGGCGCTGCCCGCGCCGCAGAGGAAGAGGGTCGCGCCCCCCCTCCCGGGGCCGCTAGACGCGGGGTCCAGAGGCTTCTATTGGGCAATCGCCTACGCGGCAAGCTTCTCCCGCTGCCGCGGGCGACTCCGCCGCCGACGCGCGGGCTCGTGAACGGCCCGCGCTGCGTCCGACAGCGTCGACGGAAGCGCTGAATCACCTTGCTGCTTCTATTACGCGCCCAGCAGAGCCCGTCAACAACAATTTTGGTCGGAGGTCTCCTACCGCGGCTCAGGACGCTGTGCTGCATCGTCTGCACCGACGGGTCATTGCTGGCGGTCTGCCACCTCCTGATCTCGACGAGCGGCGAGCCCTCCGGAAGGTCCTGGCGTCGCGGCCCCAGTGCGGTCTGGAGCCACCCAACTTTGCCTCGCATGACTTCTCCGAGTTGAAGATCTGTCGGGGCGCCCTGACACTTCGCTCTTCGATGGGCGGTCTCCCAGCGGAGGCCGCGCACACCTTCGGCATTATGGCGCGCGGATCGAGTAGGGCACTGGCTAGCTGCTCAGCCTGGCCCCGGACCTGCCGGAGCCCTGCTGGGGCCCCGCGCTTCGGCGGTCCGCTGCGCGGCGGCGACGCTTGTTCAAGCGCATGGCGGGCACGTGGCTGGTCTCTTTTCGTCGCCGAGCGAAGGCTTTTAGGGCGCAGAAAGGAGACGAACTCCGGGTGGTTCTCGACTCCCGACTGGCCTGCCTCAGTCGCAGGCGGCCCCCCGCAGTGCACTTCGGCTCAGCTCGAGCCATGGTCGACCCTGACCTGTCGGATGACTACCTCAGCCAGTGTGGAGGCCATGGCGGCATCGCGGCGGTGCCCATCTATGCTGGCGACGCTGACGTCGACGATTCCTTCATCAATTTTTTAACTCCGCAGTTGGCCTTCTGGTTTTGCATGGAGGCAGGCTACGCAATTGAGGACGCGCCCGACTTCGGCATCCATCGCATCTGGGATGGCGACCTGCAACGCTGCGACTTGTTGCGGCCTTGCGAGCAGCTGTTCGCATGCCTCGAAGGTCTGCGCATGGGAGGGTCGTGGTCACTTTGCCTGCGCCTGAAGTTTTCTGAGAACCTTGTCGCCGCGCCACTCCCGCTTGGTCTAGTTACGAGGGGCCCTTCGTGATCGATCGCCTGCTCCGGAGCTCGCCTTCGGGGCGACTGCTGAGGGCGTTTGCGCGGGCACCTTCAATTCTTTCGCTATCTGCGCGGACGATTCACGAGAACGCGGAGCGGTTCTGCAGATCTCTGACCGAATTGCAGATTGGTACCCTTGGGGGGCACAGTGGCGCCACATACTTGGAGACGCTCTGCCTTGAATTTCATGCTGGGCATAAGGTACAACGACGTACTCAACGGAGGACATGGATGTGTGCGTTGGCTACTCGGGCCCTACTTCGTCGATCGCACCTTCGCGGTGTCTGGCTCGGAAGCGCGGCATGCATTTTCTCCCTTTCCACTGAGCTCCTCGCAACCCTGCAGGACTCCTACACCTTCGCATCGGAGGCGCGCGGTCTTCGGGCGCGGGCCCCCATCCGCGGTGGAGCTGGAGGTGGTGCTGGCTCGACGGATGGCATTCGTGGTCGAGGCGGGTGTCGGGGCCCCGATCTGGCGCGAGGCCCACGCGGGCGGCTCCAGCACGTTTGGGCACGCCCTGTTGTCCAAAGAGTGCAGCCTTCAGGAGTTACGCGCAACCGTCGTGCATCGGGTGCGCTGGCGCTACCGCAAGGTCCAGCGCTTGGAGCCTGCCAGGCTCGATGCTCCTGAGATCGTCGACCAGATGGGGGGTCTCTCCACCGACAATGACGTGGGCGAGGAGGTTTTCTGCGAGTCGAAGGTGCGGGGCCGCGCTGCTGGACTCGTCTCAGGTGATCAGACTTCGCATGGCGGCTGGCTGCAGCGCCAGGCCGACGAGGCTCGGCGAACAGCGAGGCCGCTTCGCTGCGCCGCGGAGGCCCAGGCGCCACCTGAGATGCCACCTCTCGTCCGCAGCTGGTCCACGAGAGAGAGGCGGAGCACCGTGCATGAGCGGGAGCGGCAGTGGCCCGAGGAGCACATCAGTGCAAAGGAGGGGCGAGTCACGCTCCAGCCCCTGCGCCTTTTTGGGCGGGGCGCCCGTGCTCACGGCCGCCGCTGTCTCTGCATCGGTGATAATCTGGTGACGTCGAGCGGGTTCGAGAGAGGTAGATTTACAAGTCATGCCCTCAACGCTCTCGCTCGCCGATCCATCCCTCATCGCGCTGGATGTGGCCTCGACTTCAGAATTCGGCGCACACTCGATGCGAGCGCAACGTTGCGAATGAGGGTTCTCGACGGTTTCATTCTGACAAGACAAGAAAGTATTCACTTGATAGATACTGCGATGTGCGACAAGATGTTGCAGCGCCATCTGTCTTTGCGCAGATGACGACCGTCGCGCCTTCCAGTGTCTCTGCCTCTTCATCTTCCACTCTACCTTCAATGCCTGCGGCTCCGACGACTCCGCCCCCCCGCGTCGACGAGGGCCTCGAAATGGACCCCCTGGGAGCCGTGGGATCTTCGGAGGCTCAGGTCAGGCCCCGGCAGTCTCCCAGCGGTGGCGATAGGGTCTTCCTGGAGCTCTTCGCGGGGTCTGCTGAGCCGTCTCGGGCAGTGCATCGTCGAAGCCTACGCGTGGGTTATGTTATTGACGTTGCCCGCGGTGGCGACTGCGATCTTACGCGGAGAAGCGCACAGAGATTAGTGTTAAATCTCATTCGCACGGGCAAGGTTTTCTGGGTGCATCTTGGAACTCCATGCTCGATATGGTCTATCGTGCGCAGGAGCATCAAGAACATAGATAGGGCTCTAGGCAGCAAGAGTTGGTGGGGTGGGCTTCCTGAGGTTGAGAAAGTCATACTCGATCTGTGCCAGTACGCGGTGCCCCATAAGAAGCTCACCGCGCTGCTCACCAATGGTACTTCCTTGAGATCTTTGGGAGCCCGCTGTCCAGGTGTCACAGTCCAACATCGGCACGTTCACTTGACAGGCGCGCGTCGCATTACAGGCTCAGATGGACGGACCAATTGGGTCCCGCGCGCGGCTGGAGCAGGGTCGTGCCCGCCCACCTCCTGCCGCGCCTGGGCCCGCGCCATCTGGCAAACTGCGCCGGCGGCTGCCCGTGGGGCTTCGGCGCGCTGGATCGCTGGCTGGAAAGCTGATCTCCGGGGCGCCGCCGCTGCCAGCGAACGTCGACGACGGCGCCGTGCTGCGGCGGCGACACGGCGCGCGTGCTCATGCAACGAGGACAGCGAGGCGCTATTCTTCACGACGGGGGGCGTCCAAAGCGATCGACTGGCAAGGCATTCGCTTCGCCAGAGCTGGGCGCGGCACCGACATGCAAGCGCGCTCGGCATGATCGGGTGAGCACTTTGGGTGGCATGACGCATGGCACTGGAGGTGGCACGAGCCCTGGCTTCCTACGGCGCGGGACTGCTGGTCCCCGGACGCTCGGGCATTACCGCTAAGCCGTGGCCGACTCCACCTCTACGGCCAGGCGGCGTGGCCTTTTTTTTGACGCCGCCGAAGGCGCAAGCACATGCGATGGAAAGATATTGTGAGTCCTTATCGCTGGCTGGCTACAGCCCTGCGTCTGGGCACTTTGTGGTCTACGGCTGGGTGAAGCTCAGCGCCGATAACCGCAAGCAGGCGCTCCTCGATCTCGATCCTGTCATCGAGGCGTTGAAGGGCTTGCCGAAACAGATGCGCGAGTTCGTTGTCAAGCCATGCCCGGAGGAGGTCATCATCCTCGCCTTCCACTGGCTGGCGGAGCGCGACGGGCTCGAGGCGGCAGCTGCTGGTCTGCTGCAGTTTGACCTCTACGCGAGGCCGTCGGAGATCTTTGATTTGATTTGGGAGGATGTCATCGCCCCGTCGCCGCGGGCATGAGCTGCGCGCCGCCAGTGGGCCGTCGTTTTCGGCTCCTCTGAACAGGGCGAGCGCGCCAGGACTGGCAATGTGGATGAGCATGTGACCTGTGGCATGCGAGGCCGGGAGTGGGCGGTAGAGGTGTTGTCGACGTTGCACCGCGCCACTCCTGCTGAGACGCGGATATTCCCCAACCTTGCCCTACCTGTGCATGAGAAGAGGGCCCAGCGAGGTGCGAGGGCGCTCGGGTTGTCAGCATCGAACCTCGCCCCACACGTTGCGAGGCACTGTGGCGCGGGCAACGATCTGATTCAGAAGCGGCGAACGTTAGACCTCATGCGTCGCAGGGGTCGGTGGGGGGCCGCTAAGAGTGTTCAGGAATATGACATACATGCTCGCTTGCTGCGTCAGTTGTCGACGGCGCCAGAAGCTTTGATACCAAAGCTCCCGTCCCCTCAAGGGCCCCTTCGTGCTGCGCTGCAGAGCAGGTTGCCGCAAGGACTTCAGGCTTGAGGAGTGGCACCGTCCTACCCCAACTACCATCCTTTGCTCATGATTCTGGTGGGATGTTGGCACTGGCCGGCGTGGCGTGCTCGAGGGGCTCGTGGTCCACAGTTTGAATCCTGAGATTCCTGTGGGTCGGAGGCTCCTTTTGCCTCGCCGGCGCCTGTCTTCGAAGGTAGATTGGACTGCTGTTTTTCGGGCTGCATGGTGGCCTGTCTTCAAGAAAAGAGTGATCGAGTGGGCTTGCGCCTGTCGCCGGCGGCATCTGGGGCTCCGCTGGCAGCTCATCTCAGTCGAGGGGATCGTCGGGTTTGTCTCACGGTATCTCGTAAGATCAGAGGCCCTTGCAGGAGGGCTGTTGACTGCAGCCAGTTCTGGGCGGAGCACTGGAGATGGGTATACATTCCTTTTCTACGCGTCTTGATCATGTCGATATGCCCCGTCCGTCCTGCAACCGCGCGTGCACAAAGTGCCCCATCCAGCTCCCAACCGCCATCCTCACCACCAACGAGAGCTTGTCGGTGTTCTGATAGTGCTGGCCGGCGTGCTCGAGGGTTTCGTGATCCACGCTGTGAATCCTGAGATTCTCGTGGGTCGGAGGCCCCCCTTTCTGCTTCGCCGGCGCCTGTCTTCGAAGGTTGATTGGATTGCCGAACTTCAGGCTGGCTGGTGGCCTGTCTTCGAGAGAGTGATCGAGCGGGCTTGCGCCTGTCGCCGACGGCATCTGGGGCTCCGCTGGCAGCTCATCTCGGTCGAGGGGATCGTCGGGTTTGTCTCCCGGAATCTCGTAAGATCAGAGGCCCTTGCAGGAGGGCTGTTGACTGCAGCAAGTTCTGGGCGGAGCATTGGAGATGGGCATGCATTCCTTTTCTACGTGTCTTGATCATGTCGGTATGCTCCGTCCGTCCTGCAACCGTGCGTGCTCAAAGTGCTCCATCCATTTCCCAACCGCCACCCTTCCTCACCACCAACGAGAGCTTGTCGGTGCTCTGATAAGACTGGCCGGCGTGCTCGAATGTTTCGTGATCCACGCTGTGACTCCTGAGATTCTCGTGGGTCGGAGGTCCCCTTTTGCTTCGCCGGCGCCTGTCCTCGAAGGTTGATTGGACTGCCGAACTTCAGGCTGGCTGGTGGCCTGTCTGCGAGAGAGTGATCGAGCGGGCTTGCGCCTGTCGCCGACGGCATCTGGGGCTCCGCTGGCAGCTCATCTCGGTCGAGGGGATCGTCGGGTTTGTCTCTCAGTATCTCGTAAGATCAGAGGCCCTTGGAGGAGGGCCCTTGACTGCAGCCAGACATTGGCGGAGCATCGGAATTTATGTATGTATGTATATATATACATGTATATATACACCTATATTTATATATACGCATGTGCACACATGTCTATATATATATATATACATACACATTTGTCTGCATACACACATAAAAGGTGTGTGTGTGCATACGCGCACACCTAACATTAACATTTCTACGGGTATGCGCATGTGTGCAAGTACATGTATATGCGTATGACCGCATCGATACGTATGGATACGCATATGTGTTTGTCGATGTACGCGTATACGCTTATGCACGCGTGCATGAACACGCTGGCGAACTGTGCATGCACACGTGTATGTATATGAATATGGAGATGGCCCCTCGCAGTGTTTACGTGTATATACGAATACATGTATATGGATGTGTATGTGAATTTCCGGGTCTATTTATACGTGGTTGCCTTCCCGAGAAGTCCGAGGACCTCCGGAGGCCAGGGGGCGCCCCCCCCCCATCCCCCCTCCCCCTCCACCACCCCCTCGCCCCACCCCACTGTGCGGGCCGCCAGGCGCACGGGGAGGGGCGGAAGGAGGCGAGACGGAGGCCCATCTCAGTGGTTCCAGGTGTCTCAGTCTCTGGCCTCGGTGCGTTCGTCCTCTGCGGCGGCTCGGCTCATGGCTGGGATTCAGAGCGCGCTTGTGGGGCTCGATTGTGCCGAATTCCAAGCAATGTGCCCACTGAGCTGGACGAGGGACAGCACTCAGGCAAGACAGGTGGGCCCGTGCAGACCTAATCTAATAGTTTTGGCGTGTTTGTGAGGAGCATTCAGATTGGGACGTGGAGGTGGCCAGTACTTTACTCTAGGGAGTTTGCTCGACGCACAGTGGCCAGTTGGTTTTCGGCACGTGGTCATCAGATTCGCATCGTAGATTTGCGTGCGCATGAGAAGTGCAAGTCGGACGGCGTCGACCACGACGGGAGTTAAGTAGGGTAGGTTCGTGTCGTGTGGATGCGACGACCACCCCAGCGCAGGCGCTCAAGGTTGAACGATGCCAGCGGCGATCGAAAGGCCGCCGATCTCTCATGGTTGAACGATCCATGCGGTGTCAGAAACCAACGCCCTGGTCGTCGCGACACGACCCCACCGCAGTCGCTTAGTCCGCACCTTCTCGTCGTCGCTCCCCTCGAGCGCCTCCGCCAAGAACCCGCCCTGCACGGGCACGAGAAGACGCATCACAGTGCAGGGCCTAGCAGGGCCGCATCGCGCTTGATGTGCCCGGGGGCGCGCTCGTGGAGACGCCGGGCATGTTCAAGGCGCACAGGGCGCGTCAGGGGTATCGTTAGGGGGGGGGGGAACTAGCTCATGGGCGGAGGCATCGACCCCCAGTCGCCCATTGATCGCCCATTGATCGCCCCGGATAGGGCCCGCCTTCTTCCAGGAACGTGCTGTTTCACTGTCGGGGGCCCATCGCCGATCCCTGGGCGATCTACCGCCGATCCCAGGTCCATCGAGGATCAACGAATCTGAATAAACACGCGCTTTCGGATGTCCGCGCATATTTCTTGGACCTTGGCTCTGCGCGCCACGGAAGGGGGTTCCAGGGCAGATTGAAGAAGTCCGCGCGGACCTCCGAAAATTTGTGTTACGCAGTTTTTGGTCCTTCGAGTTAACGTCCCCCCCCCTGATCCGTTCCACCCCCAATGTTGCCCCTCATAATTTGAGGGCGCACACGTCTCGGACCAGTTCAGTACTACTTGACATCGTGGCCATTTAGTTGTCGTCCCAGTTGCCCCGCTCTTGGAGCCGCCGCCGTTTTGTGCCTTCGACTGTGCCGGTCGTGACCCTTTCTCCGCCTCCTTCTTCCACCTTCCTCCTCCTTTCCTCCCCTCCCACCCTTCTCCCATTCTTCTTTCACCCCCTTCCTTCCTTCCTTCCTTCCCTTCCTCCCGTTTCCCCCCTCCCTTTTCCTCCCGTTCCCCCTCCTCCCTCCTCCCCTCCCCCCTCCGTGGCCATTTTGGCTCAAGCCGCCGCCCCGGATCGAGGTGTTTGGAACTGCTCCAGGAGCAGCGCACCTCGCGCGGGGCCGGGTGCCATGCGCGCCAGCCGCGTCGCTTCGCCTTGCCCAGGCGAGTGGAAGGCTAGCCGCGCGCGACGAGGCTTCTCCGGCCGGCGATGCTGCAGCCAGCCGAGGCCGGACCTCCGTGCCCCTGCGCGGAGAATCGGCTACGCGGCCCGCGTCGGCCGCCGCCCGCACATGCAGGACGTCGCAGCGTTGGTCGCCGCGCTGGTTCGCCGTGCCGTTCTGCTTTCACATGCTGTGCGGCAGCGTGACGTGCCGCCACCGGGCGGCCATCAACGTGTGCTACTGCGTGACCATGATGCCGGTCCTGTGCATGCAGATGGTGATGCTGCGTGTGCCAAGGTGGCCGAGGCCGCATGGTGCTGGCTGCCCGGAGCGCTGCCGCACCCGGCGCCCAGCGCGCCGATTTGGTGGCCCTCGCCGCCGCCGCCGCGGCTGACGACGCTGAGTGCCCCCGATCTGCCGTTGGTCGGGCCGCCGCCGGCACACGCCCCGCCGTTCTTTGTGGAGCGCAGCCTGCCGCCGTCGCCAGCAGATGACGACGCTGAGGACGGCCCTGGCGTTGCTGCCGACTCGTCTGATGAGTCCGACAGCACGGTCGAGTCCACAGAATTCGTGTATCCTCGGTCGTTCGGAGCTCGGATACCGCATCGCGCGGGGCCGCCCTTGGAGGACCGTCTTGGGGGAGTGCCACAACTGGCCGACCGCCAGGGCGCAGACCCCGAAGCCGGGGGAGTGCCTCAACTGGCCCAGCGCCATGGTGCAAACCCCGAAGCCTCCGTGGAGGAGGGTGACCTGCGGGCACCGAGCGCAGACATCCAGATCGATGACATGCCGCCGATTGTGGACCTCGTTGCTGCGGCCGCTGGCGTGGCCCCTGGCGCCCCTTGCCCTGCTGCGCCCAGGAATGCACCCTGCGCCCCGCCGCGTTCCTCGGCCAGGGTTTCGCGCCCGCTGCCGCAACTACCAGCGCTGCCTCCACCGCCGGCGCATGATGCTCCCGGACTGCCGCCGCTCTGCTTGCTGCCGCCACCCGCGCATGACGTTCGAGAGGATGAGCGCGCTCTGCCTCGTGCCGGACCGCCTGCGCGTCCCGATGGCGCTGCGTCTCCGGAGGCTCTGGAACGCGCTGCCTCGCCACCAGCGCTGGCGGAGGTGGTGGGTGGCCCGCCCTCGGCGCTGGCTGCGGCCCCGTTGCTGGTGGTGGCGTTGGCCAAAGTCTTGCGCTGCCGAGGGCCTGTTCCCGTGGCTCCGCTTCCCAACGAGTTCGCGGCCATGTGGCGGATTCGCCTTGACTCCCTCATGCAGGATGAGGGCGAGACGGATGTTGCAGCCTTCCTAGCCAAGTGGACCCAGTGCGAGGTGCACAAGGACAACGACAGGACCTAGATGGCGCAGTTGGCACATCCCGGCGAGCCAGCCCTGCCGCATGCAGCGGCCCAGGCCGACCCGCGGGGGGCTGCGGGCCCGCTGGGCGCGCGGGAGATTGCTGGTGCTGCTGGGGCTCCGGAGTTTACTGCTGCGGCGGCCGGTCGCGCTCGCGAGCCGCCTAGTCCGGAGCAGACGGCTGGTGCCCGGAGCAATGTAGTTCGCCTCGAGCGTATGATTTTGAATTCTTGTTGCCCTCCAGCCGCCGGCCCGGTTCAATCGGTTTGCAGTGGAAATGGGTCCGCGCGCAGCGAATCCCAGTAGTTTCTACTCCTACTGTTCGCTGCGAGCCCGTATCACCAGCTCCTCGCGTTGCTGCCATAGTGAATGATGATCTGTTCGCTCGGCACGTGCGTAGGTGGGCGCAGCCGGGGCCTCTGCCCACTCCCCCGCCCCCCGCGCGCACCCTGGCCGATCCTGATGCGTTTCTGGCTGCGAGTATCGCGGTCTCCCGAGAATGGCAAGACTGTTCTGTCTGGAGCCCCCTTCCTCTCGGCATAGCGCGATGACAATCGCGTCGGTGCCTCGCGTGGTTGCGAAGATAACTACCCTTCTTCCCCCACTGTACTGCCTAGGAGATGTGGTCCGAGCCTTTCCTCCTACTTAGCTTTGCAGGATGTACGTGTCCCATACTTCGTGTTGCCCACTCGTTCCCGATCCTGATCAGCTAGTGTCTCGCGTGGTCGACGTGCTGTGCTGTCACACACGTCCATGATAGATGGGTGGAGGGTTTGGAGGGTGGCGTTTAGGTTCGGTGTGGAAATGGTGTTGGAACTCCTGGGTACGTAGTCGTCACGTTTCGGCTTCTACGTGCGGAAGATGGCGGCTGCCAGTCAGATGTGTCCCAGCCTTGACCCCGCTCGCTTTCTGCTCCCAGTCTCACTCCTCTCTTCGCGGCTTCATCTACCATCATGCAGCCATTTCCCTCCCTTCCTCCCTCCCCTCCCCCTCCCGATTGGCCAAGAGCCACGACGCGGTCGTCGTTTCTTTGTTCGACCCGATGCCGGCCACTTGATTTGAGAGAGGAGTGATTGGGGGGGACGCTGACGCCGGTGGGGACGAGGGTGTCACTGCGGCGTTGGTGCAGGCACGGGCCGCAGGTCGAGCGTGCGAATCTCGTGCACTCCCGCAGGCCCCTGCCTTGCGCCAGCCCACTAAGCTGGACTTCGGCCCGTCGCAGGCCATCTCACCTGCCCCCCTCTTTGATATGCCTCCTCTTGCCTCCTCCTTCCTCCTGCGGCGTTGTGATGCGCCCTGAGCGCCTTCAGACGATGAGGCGGGGGGGGTGGTAGGACAGGACGGGGGCGGGGAAATTTACCAAACCTTGGCGCCTTGGCGCCCGTGCTGCATGTACGCACAGTTGCAGCAGCTAGTGAGTGCCGCACCTCGGCGAATCAGAGCGCAATCCAGACCCTCCCCTCCTTCCCTCCCTCCCCTCCTGCTGGCGTCGTGGCCTCCCCGTGCTCCCCTTGAAGTCCCGCGGCGCCACGGGGGCGCGGTGGCCCGCCTGCTCGAGCCGCCGGGGGCCTCGTGGGAACCTTCCGCTCCACCGCCAGGAGGAGGAGGAGGAGGAGGAGGAGGAGGAGGAGGAGGAGGAGGAGGAGGAGGAGCAGGAGGAGGAGGAGGAGGAGGAGGAGGAGGGAGGAGGAGGGAGCAGGAGGAGGGGGAGGAGCAGGAGGAGGAGGAGGAGGAGAAGAAGAAGAAGAAGAAGAAGAAGAAGAGTAATGATGATGATGAGGAGGAGGAGGAGGAAGAGAAGGAGCAGGAGGAGGAGGAGGAGGAGGAGGAGGAGGAGGCCGCTCCTGGCCAGGCTTATTTATCCTGTGCCCCCAGACCCGTGCCTGCGCCTCTGCGACCCAGCCCAGGAGGGCGCCCGCACACCGATCTCCCGGGCCCAGGCGCCGGGGCCCGCCGGAAAGGCGGAGCATGCTCCTCGCCCTCCCGCGCTCGGCTCCCGGGGGCGGGCAGGCCGAGGCGGCCAGGCGGTCGGGAGGCAACTCCTGATGGGGTTTCGGGGGCCACATGCGGACCCCACCCCTACCCCCCACGACTTCCGAGGGGGAGGGTGGGGTTCCATTCGTTCGGGAGCTCCCGAGCGAAGCGAACCTCACCCCCTCCCCTTCAGAAATCGCCCGGGGCAGGGGTGGGGTTCGCATGTGGCCCCCTAGGGTTCCTCTCCGCATCGGCGCTGGTATACCCGTGGTCGACAAGCGGCCCAACCCGGCATCATCTGGCCCAGCCCGGCGCCATCCCGCCCCATCGGGCTCGATCCGGTTCCATCCGGCCGGCCCACCTGCCCCTGGATCTGGCGTATAGGAGCCCTCGATCTTTCCTGCGGGGGTCGCCCAAGGGCCGCCTCCTGCGGGGGGGGAGGAAGGCCGGCAAGCGGGCCTGCAGGCGGGCAGGAGCGGTTTGGAGGGACGAGTGAGGCGGGCAGGCGGGCGGGCGGGAAGGAAGGAGAGAGGGATTGAAGGAGGACGTGTGGAAAACGTAGCTGCCTCGAGCCGCCCGTTTGAGACGTAATTCGTACCGTGCTCAGAACGTCCGTGTCAATAGGTCCCGTGTTGGCCCACGTGTTGGCGAGAGTATCGCATCAGACCTGCGTTTTTAGTCTACGTGTTGACTTCCGTACTGATAACATACGTGTTCCGTGTTGCGTATCGGGCGGCTCGGGTGGAAACACGTGGTGGAAGGCGAGGAAGAGAGAGAGAGAGAGAGAGAGAGAACAAGAGAGAGCGAGTGCGCCAAGACGAGAACGAAGGTGTGATGAGGAGAAGAGTATGGAATCACGAGGAGGAGACGGATTTGTAATAATAATGGATGGGGATGAGGATTGCGAGGAGGAAAATGAAGAGGAGGATGGGAAGCATGATAGTGAGATAGGTAACGAAGAGGGCGCCAACGAGGGGATGGGGGTCATGGCCAAGGCCATGTTATCTGAGATGAGGAGAAGACACCCGTACCGCTGCCCTTCCCTCGTTTTCCCACTGTTGGGCCTCCTGGGAGGCCCACGTCGCCACCGCTGGGTTCGCCTCGAAATTCTGGCCCTAACGCCCCCCCCCCCAGGAGATGCCCAGGGAGTAGGGGTATCGGTACCTTGTAGCCTCCCCAGCACATCCCAATCCTTCTTGGCGCCTCTTCTTGCCTCGGAGCGTCTCCCGGGCTCCCCTGGGCCGCGCACGTGCCACGCGGCAGGATCTGCGGGCTTCCCCCTCGGACCCCCCCCCCTCTCGTGGACGCCCCCGAGAGGGCGGGGGCGGCAGCTCCGCGACGACGAAGCGCTTCCTCTTCCGCGCGGGGGCGCGGAGTCCAGAGGAGGGACTCGGCCAGGCGAAGTTCGGCCAGGCCAGACTTGGCCAGCCGAGCTCGGCCTGGCGAGGCTCGGCCCTGGCCGACTTCGGTGTCGCCCATAGTGCGACCTGCCGAGCTCCGCCTGGCCGAGTTTTCAGCTGGCCAGGGTCAGTGGCTGCCTCTGGGGCCCCAGAGCGGTGCGGCGACCACACCGCGTGGCGAGTCCTTCACCACCCACCAAACCACCCCAACCCAACCCGAAGGCCTCAATTTGCCCTCCACTTCCAGTGGGGGGGGGGTCGGGGAACATCGAGAAAACACATATGGAACCCGTACCCCCCCCAACCCGAAATTCGGGTCTTCGGGTTGGGTTGGGGTGGTCTGGTAGGTAGTCAGTCCTGGGGACCTGGGTCGATCTCCGAGGACGTCTCGGGCGACTGGGGCCTCCTTGGGTCCCAGAAGCGTGCGGCGGCGGCCCGTGCGGTGAGGCCGCCGGGGAGTCCGAGGTCGCCACGCGGTCCGTCGCCGCACGGCTTTGGGGGCTCCGAGGGGGCTCCGAGGGAGCCGGAGGAGGAGGAGGAGGAGGAGGAGGAGGAGGAGGGGGAGGGGGAGGAGGCGAGCGGTCCGCGGGCACCCGCCACGAGACCTGCCGAGAGGGTGGCGCTGCCCAGGCCAGGCGCAGCCCAGGGCGGCGTAGCGCAGGGCGGCGCAGCCCCGCCTTTGTGGGGCTGCGGGGGCCCCAAAGGGGGGCTCCACTCGGGAGGGAAGGAAACACACACAGACACAAGGAATCGTCGATGCCCCAAGAGAAAGTATGGGAAAAGAGGGGAAGTGGGGGGGCAGACGGACACGCAGAAGATGTTGGAAAATATGGGGGATCCTGTTATTTGTGTGAGTGTGTGCATCTGTTTGTGTGTCCCAGGGCCCCTGCATCCACGGCGCCCAAGTTCAGGCGGCAGGGAGAGGAGTTTCCCAGAACTCGGACGTCGCTGTTTTCTCAGCGCGGGCCCTGGAGATCAGGACCCCTTCCGGGGGACGGGATTTGCATCCCGAGTCGTCTCTGGACGGTCCGTTGGCCCGGCGCGGGCCCCGTGACCGAACATGGGCAACAGCATCCGCCGTGCTTTTTTTTACAAGAAGAGAGCGTGGAGTGTTGGATCGAGCCACGATGCTCGGGCGCACGACGTCGTCCCAGTGTTCTTTTGCGCCGCGTGCTGGTGCTGCTCTGTCGCGAGTCGGCTGCCTGCGTTCTTCTTGGCTTCCCCGTGTCCCGCAGAGCCGATGAGCCGTCTGGCAGGTCTCGGCGAGTCGACTTGGCGGCCCTGGCTCGAGATACATGGCGGGGGCATTCCCTCTGAGCGATTGCGTCGACGCAGTTCAGACAACCTGTACGTTTAGATCCCAGGAGGCATCCGGGACGCGATTTTGAGTTGCCGTCGTTTCAATTATCCCTGCTACGATCGACCACGGCACGAGGAATGTTTCTAGAAGGTAAGGGCTTACGGGCTGCCGACGTGGGAAGCCAGCGGGCCAAAATCGCGATGCATGGCGGAAGAAGAGGATCCTCTTGCTCATCCTCTCGCTGCTCAGGCTGCTTCTCCTTGCTCCTGCTGCTGGTCCTCCTCTTTCTCCCACGGCTCATCCTCCTCCCTTCTTGTTCGCCTTCCTCCTCCTTCTCCTCCGTCTTCTTGCTCTCCTCCTGCCGTTGCGCAGAGCGGCCGCCAAGGAGCCGGGCTGCACGAGAAGATGCGGCACGGTCTCGCGCCCAGCCTGCTGGCCTTGCCTGGCCGGGTTGGATGATGTCGATGGCGGTGACGCGAGCTCGAGGAGGAGGGGGCACGGCGCCTGGGTGATGATGCCTGTGATGTTTGTCGGATTGTGCTCTGGATGATTCGATGATGATTCGTTGGATGATGCCTGTGGCGTTTTTCCGACGGGATCTCGTGGCTGCCTCAGTGGTACAGGAGGTGGTGGATAGCACGGAGGCGAATGATGATGATCATGATGATGATGATGATGATGATGATGATGATGATGATGATGATGATGATGATGATGATGATGATGTTGAGGAGGTGGGCGTGGAGGAGAACGAGGTCTGAGGACGGCGAGAAGGAAGACGAGGGCGATACAAGGACAAGGAGGGACAGTACGAGGCGACATGGGGATACGGAGGATGATGAACGTGCGGAGGTGGAGGCGAATGTGGAGAAGGTGGAGAGTGGCGATGTTGAGGGAAAGGATGATGGTGATGATTATGTTGATGATGGAGATGGTGACGACAATGATGAGTTGTGATGGTGATTATAAAGATGATTTTGATGACGCTTATGATGATGGTGATGCTGATGATGCGGATGCTGATGACGATGATGGTGATGGTGTGATGATGATTATGATGACGACTCAAACGATGACGATGACGACCACGCAGGACGACGGACGACGACGACGATGATGAGGTTGATGCTGCTGATGATGATGCTGATGATCATCATCATGGTGACGATGAGGATGACGAAGAGGCTGATGATGATGACGATGACGATGACGACGATGAAGCTGATGACGTTGTTAATGGCGATTATGATGATGATGACGATGATGATGTTGATGATGATGATGATGAGATGATGATGATGATGATGATGATGATGATGATGATGCTGATGATGATGATGATGATGATGATGATGATGATGATAATGATGATGATGATGATGATGATGATGATGGTGATGATGATGATGATGATGATGATGATGATGATGGTGGCGGTGCCGCTGATTATGCCGATGTTTCTCGATGAGTTCATGCTGACGGTGATGTTGATGACGTTGTTAATGTTGCTGTTGCTGCTGCTGGTGATGGTGGTGGTGCTGATGCTACTACTGCTGTTGTTGATGATGCCGATGCGGATGATACTAGTGATGACGATGAGGACCAGTGATATGCGAAGCTGGAGGTGATTGGCCATGATCAGGCCGAGCTGGAGGGAGAGCGGGGGAGGATGCTGAGGATGACGAGGAGGTCGAGGGGCAGGACGCCGAGGACGATGCTGACGGGGCGGCGAAGGAGAAGAGGACGGGAGAGGAGGAGGAGGAGGAGGAGGAGGAGGAGGAGGAGGAGAAGGAGGAGCAGGGAGAGAAGGAGGAGGAGGAGTTGGAGGAAGAGGAGGGACAGATGGGGGCCCGAAGCTGGTTAAACATCCAGGCAGCCCCCACCTCCCCACCCCGCACGGTGAGGTCATGAGGTGCCGCAGATGTCTTCGGATTGTTTCGGGCAAGACCTCTTCTGCGTGTCCATCCCCCCAACCCCACTTTGACCTCCTTGCTTCAAGGAGGCGCGGGTCCTGGGCATAAGTAGCATTGGACGAGGATAGTGGAGTCGGATGTCCCGATGATCTTTTGTGTGTTGTGCGGGGCCATAGCGTCAGTGAGGGCTGACAAACTGTTGAAGCCCTGCACGAACCCTAGGCGCTCCTCAGAGAGATCGAAGCTCCTCCGAGGTATAGTGCCAGGGACCAGCCTCAGGCTGGGGCAGTCTTTCCCTCCGGAGTCTCTCCCTGCTTTCCCCCTGCCCAGCCTGGAGGCTCCTAATCTGTAGTAGGTGCATGGTGCTCGAGGAGTGTCCAGACACTGCAGGAGTCTGTTGAGTCTGTTGAGGAGAAGATGGCAATACAGTCGTGGCGCTGAAGAAGGAACCCTTCTCGTTGGCGAGGGGCTCGGTGTTCCTTGATTGTTTTCCAGTTCGCGTGGGGCTGTCATGGGAAATCGAAGTTTAACTTATGGGAAAAAGGGGCCTCGTTCCTTATCTAGGGTTCCTTAGGTCAACGCCCCGACTGTATGTGAGTACGGCGTCGGCAGTTTTGTGGACGACAGCAGCTGTGTGCCGTCTCATTCCCTTCTTCCAGGCCCAGGCGACGGGGTGGCGGCGGGGCGGCGACGGCGGCGACAGAGCCGCCAGACTGCCGCACAGGCTCAGTCCCTTACAGTCGGGACGCTGACCTAAGGAACCCTAAATAAGGAACGAGGCCTCTTTTCTCTAGAAGTTGAACTTCGATTTCCCGTGGAAAACCTAAGGAAAACGTGGGGCAAACCGTGAAACAATGAAGGAACACGGAGCCCCTACCCAACGCAAAGAGTTCCTTCTTCAGCGCCCCGATTGTAGACGACAAGCGCGAACCCCTAAGTGCAAGTACCATTGAGGTAAACAACTCGAACTTCAGAGCTTCCCCCCACATGTTTCTCCGAACCTCAGAACCCAACCTTCTCCCACTTCGGACAGCAACAACAAATCACAACCTCCCCCCCGTGCATCCCCCCCTCCCCGCAGAGCCCGGAGACGACGGCGCGAAGCCCGCCTCCGTCGCAGGAGATGTTGTTGGCCATGCGGTCGAAGCGCGCCTCGTCGACGCCCGCGTGCTCCAGGCCATCGGAGCCGCGTGATCGCAGCGCCGCCACTTCGAGAACAAAAACAATCCCCCCATCGCTCACCCCCCCCCCCGTCCCCCCCTCGAGGGCGAAGCGCGCCTCCTCGACACCCGCGTGCTCCAGGCCATCGGAGCCGCGTGATCGCAGCGCCGCCACTTCGAGAACAAAAACAATCCCGGAGGGGCTCCTCCTCCTCCTCCTCCTCCTCCTCCTCCTCCTCGTCCTCCTCCTTCTCCTCCTCCTCCTCCTCCTCCTCTCCCCCCTCCTCCTCCTCCCTCCTCCTCCTCCTCCTCCTCCTCTTCCTCCTCCTCCCCCCCTCGTCCCCCCCCTCGAGGGCGGGACGGTGGACGCCCCCCTTGCGCCGCCTCCGCGATCTCCGATCCCTGGCCGCGGCCCCGTGGCCGTAAGCCTGCGGCCCGTGGCCGTAAGCCGGTCCTCCTACCCCTCCTCCTCCTCCTCCTCCTCCTCCTCCTCTCCTCCTCCTCCTCCTCCTCCTCCTCCTCCTCCTTCTCCTCCTCCTGATCCTCCTCGTCTTCTCCTCCCTCCTCCTACCCCTCCTCCTCCTCCTCCTCCTCCTTCTCCTCCTCCTCTCCTCCTTCTCTTCCTCCTGGTCCTCCTCGTCTTCTCCTCCCCTCCTCCTCCTCCTCTCCTCTCCTCCTCCTCCTCCTCCTCTAGACTCGCCCCGACATATTCCTCCTTCTCGCGCGTGTCCTCCTTTCTCCTGCTCCTCCTCCTACTCCTCCTCCTCCTCCTCCTCCTCCTCCTCCTCCTCCTCCTCCTCTCATCCCCATCCTCATCCTCTTCCTGCTCCGCCAAGGCCGCTCCCCAGCTCAGGCCTCTCGATGCGCAGGCGGTCTCCCAGCCCCGCCCGCCCCGTGCCACGCGTCCGGCGGGGGGGGCGAGATCCGCAGCCGCGGTGCGCAGAGCGAGCGCCACGGGAGTGCTCGCGGCGGCCCGCCGCCGCCGCGTCGGAGCCGGATGGAACGCTGTGGCGCCCTGCCCCCCCCGTGTGGCGATGTCCAGGCGAGGAAAAAGCACACAGACTCAATGAATCGTCGATTCTGAGGAAAATATGCTGGGTAGTCGAAGGCCAGACTGTCAGATTGGATTGGGCCCCAAGGGCCCAATCTGACCAGGCCAAACTGGAGGATTTGGGTCATTCGCCAGACTGGAGTCGCGCTGGCTCCCTCGCCAGATTGCCCCCATTGCAGATTGGGCCTGCCAGATTGGCGCCAGATTGGCTTCGACTACCCAGATATGGGAAGTGGGGGGGAAGACGAAAGCCCAGAAAATATGGGAAAAGATGGGGGATCTGGGTATTTGTGTCTATTTGTTTGTGTGTCCCAGTTCCCCTTCCACGGAACGCTGTGGCGCCCTCCCCCCCGTGTGGCGATGAGGCGCTCGCGCGCACAGGCCCGACGATGGCGCAACACATCAAGGCTTGATCAGCCTGGGCGCGCGCCTCGGGACGCCGCCAGGGCTCGATATGCACGCGTCGATGGCGACCCCCCAGGGAGACAAGAAGGAGAGCGAACTGGACGTCCCGCGCGCTGTCGCCGACAAGTTCTAATGCGGGATGACGATTAAGAAAACATGGGAGAGAACGATTAAGAAAAATGGTTTTCTGCCATCTCTGCCTAATTTTCTGACTGGAGGAGAACGATAACAAAATAGTTTTTCCAGCCCGCGGCCGGTTTTTTCTAATCGTCATCCCGGGCGCCGCCGCGTGAACACGAACCCCGGTCATTTATTAATCGTCATCTTCCATTGCGCCGGGCAGAGCGCAGAGGCGGGATGTGCTGGGGGGAAGGGTGGTGAGCCCGGCCGTAGTGGTTCAGAGCGGCTCGACCGCCGTATTGGGCGCCACCTGCCCCCGCCCTCCCCCGCCGCCGATGGCCAGATGAACCTGTACGACGTCCGGTGCGGCCCCTCTGTTGGCAAGCTCCTGGGCATGACCTTCCGCGTCCCCACGATCGCCCTCCGCACGGTGGACTCTGATGATGAGCTCGCAACGACAATATTCTACGAAGCGATCTGCACCGAACTCAAGAGCCGCTCGGAGGACGACATGATGGGCACCCAGGAGCGAGTAACCCTCCCCTCGCCGCCCCAGCGCGGGAACTTTGCACACGGCCAGCCAGACGGCGGGGGGAGTGGGGAACAGAGAGACAGCACTGCGGACTCCACGATCGCGAAGTCTGACGCCAGCTTGGAGCCAGTGATCGTAAATGAGGTCAAGCCTGCCCCTGCTGCTCAGACTTCTTCTCCTCCTTCTCCTCCTCCTCCTCCTCCGCCTCCTCTTGCCCCAATTGCCGTGATGCACTGACTTCCGAGGTACCTGACGAATGGGGCCATCCGCGCGTGCCCAAAGCTTTCTCCAACATTCTTAGTGCTTCAATCCGAGAGCTCCAGGAGTGGGGAATGGATGACGATGAGCACATTCCGCCTGCCACGCTGGTCAGAGAAGCGCTAGAGGGCACATAATAATCATTGCACGGTAGGGATAGGTCTCTTCGATCGCAGCGCTACTCCGCTACCATGGAAGAGCATTGTGCCCAACTCGCTCAGCTTGTCTCCGCTTAGGCGCGGCCCGCTGCTTGAGCATTACGCCCGCGCCCGCGCACCAGCGAGTTAAGGGGACAGTCCCTTGAGACGGGATTTCTTCGGATGGTGGTATAGCCAACCCATCCATGTTTGTACGACTCCAGCCTTTCAGTCAGGCCTGAGCTTCAGCACTGATGTCGACGCATAAAAGAATAAAAACATTATGCTCTTCCTCGTCGTCCTCCTCCTCCTCACCTTTCCCCTCCTCCTCCTCCTCCTCCTTCTTCTTCTCGCGCGTACCCGAAACCCGACCTCCTCCTCCTCCTCCTCCTCCTCCTCCTCCTCCCCCTCCTCCTCCCCCTCCTCCACCTCCTCCTCCTCTTCCTCCTCCCCCTTCTCCACCTCCTCCTCCTCCTCGTCCTCCTCTGGCCATTCCTCTCGGGGAGGGAGGCCGCGCCGCCCGGGACCCTGCCCCGAGGTCCGCCGGCCATTTTGGGAGTGGCCCTGCCGGCGGGGGCCAGATGCAATGTGCAGGGGGGGCGTCTCGCATTGCCGTTTGCGGTGCGGGGCAGCGAATGCGATGGGCCGGAGGTGTTGCTTTTACCGTGTTCCCTCAAGAAGAAGTCCCACGTGTCCGTGACGGGCGACGCGCAGGCCAGCATGCGGACGGTCTACGAGGCACGGGGGGGCACACAGTGGGACATAGGAGTCTAAACTGCTGTGGGATGGCGGTGGTGAAGATGACCGTTTCGGCAGTTCACCTAGATGTACACGTTCACGGAAGCCGCCCAGTACATCGGGCCCGTGTTTCTGTGTTAGTGCCCGTTTTTCAGGAGATGGGGGGAGCCTGGTAGTGCATTGACCCACCCGCCTGAGGGCTCATGCATGGTTTTGTTATTGGTACCTACACTTTACCTTTCTCTTTCAATGCATTGGATTGGGCTGTGTTCGTATACTTTTCAGCGTACGTTTGGTCACGCAGCGCCAGCATAGCCTGAAAAGGAGCGCACGCGCCTTCGGCTAGTTGGCTTGGGCGCAAGATTATCGACGCTGGTGGGCAATCACTCATTGTTCATTGGTGGCTCTGCAGTGCACAGTGCTTTGTAGAGTACGGTACGTACATGTTGTACACCATCCTCCGAGGCTCTAAGCACGCTCGGCCCTCAGGAGGTTATAGGAGAGTCCAGGAGAGGAGGGTCTTCGTCCTCCTCTTCCTCCTCGTCGTCCTCCTCCCCGCCCAGATCCACTTCGAATTCCTCCTCCTAGTGCGTAGCCAAAACCATTCCCCCGTCCTCCTCCTCGTCCTCCTCCTTCTCCCCAGCATCATCATTCTTTGCATCAATATCCAAACCCTCCCCCATCTCGCGCGCAATCGAAAGCCCCTCTTATCCTCCTCCTCCTCCTTCTCCTCCTTCTCTTCCTTCTCCTCGTCCTCCTCCCTCCCTCCTCCTCTTCCTCCTCTTCTTCCTCCTCCTCCTCCCTCCTTCTTCCTCCTCCTTCCCCTCCTTCTTATCCTCCTCCACCTCCTTCTCCTCCTTCTCCTTCTCCTCCTCCTCCTCCCCCTCCTCCTCCTCCTCCTCCTCCTCCTCCTCCTCCTCCTCCCCTCCTCCCTCCCTCCCTCCCCCCTCCTGTTCCTCCTCCTCCTCCTCCGCCTCCTCCTCCGCCTCCTCCTCCTACTCCTCCTCGTCGCCCTCCTCCTCCTCCTCCGCCTCCTCCTTCGCCTCCTCCTCCTCCTCCTCCCCCCTATTCCTTCCTTTAGATCCAGATCTAAATCTTCCTTCTCGCGAGTAGCCGAGACGCCTTTTCCTCCTCCCCCTCCCTGTTCCCTTGCTGATCCTCCTCCTCCTCCTCATCCTCCTCCTCCACTTTCTCCCCCCCCCCTCCTCCTCTCCTTTCTCGTCCTCCTCCGCCGCCTCCTCCTCCTCCCCCTCATCCTCCCCCTCTTCCCCCCCCCCCCTCCTCCTCCTCCTTCGTCCCCCACCTCCTGTAGATCCAGCTCTAACTATTCCTCCCTCTTGCGCGTAGCCGAAACCCTTTTTCCTCCTCCTCCTCCTCCTCCTCCTCCGCCTCCTCCCTCTCCTCCTTCTCCTCCCTCCCTCCTCCTCTTCCTCCTCCTCGTCCTCGTCCTCTTCCTCCTCCTCCTCCTCCTCCTCCTCCTCCTCCTCTCTCCCTCCTCCTCCTCATCCTTGTCCTCCTCCTCCTCCTCCATTCCTCGTCTATTAATATCTCCTGTCTGTCGCACCCCGAGGCCTGTCGACAAGGCGGGCCAGGCGTTCCGCCTGAGACTTCCTCACCACTAATGATCCAGACGCTTTGAACATTGTTTTACCGATGGAGGGCGGACCGTTTCCAAAATGTGGCTCTCGTCTTACTTACCGCCGCGCGCATTCGTTAATCACATTGCCAGAGCTTCACGGGTTGATGGCGGGCCTTTTTCCAAAATGCGGTTCTCGCTTTAGCGCCGCCGACGCTCGTTTTAAACACTCGCAGTAGAAACAAGGATTGAAGGCGGCTCCTTTTCTACATGTGGGTCTCGCCTTAGCGCCGCGCGCATCTGTTAATTTTATTTCAAGAGTTTCACGCATTCGCATGGCTAGCGTGCCAGGTATGGTGTTTTCAGAGCGGTTCAGGATGGTCAGGGCGCAACAGTTGCTTTGATTCGTGGTGTCGAAGTCCCAGGAATGATGTTTCCGCATGGTTCAGGATCGTGAAAACGCAGCAGTCGCATTGGTTCGTGGCGTTGGAGTCCCGGAAATGGTGTGTTTTGGCACGCTTCAGGGTCTGCAGACGTCTGTCTCCCAACGGGGCACTCCCCCCGGTGGAAATAAAATTAATTGAAAGGGCCTGCGAAGAGAAAACTCAGAGAGGGGGTTTTCTCCGACATCGTTGATGAGTCTTGGGTTTGCACTGGTCCTCCTCCTCCTCCTCCTCCTCCTCCTCCTCCTCCTCCTCCTCCTCCTCCTCCCCTACCCTCCCTGCCTCCTTCCATCCAACCTCCCTCCGTCCCTCCCTCCTCCTCTCCTTCATCCCGAAGATCGTTCCCCTTCGCTGCCCCCCCCGAAAGAGGGCCCGCCGAGGGCCGGCGGCGCACGACAAGCCCGAGGGGGCGGCGCTGGCGCTGCACAGTCGTGCGCTCAGCAAGGTGGCCCCGCAGGAGGAGCCCGGCTGTCGGCTCCGGGCGTCGGCGCGCGCGATCGGGAGCGGAAACGAGGGGGGTGATGACTAGGGGGGGGGGATTTCATGGCGCGGGCCATGATTTTTCTTCAGATTTCATGGCGCTTGTTTTAGTACGTCCCAGGCCCTCCGCTGGGCCGCGCACGTGCGGCCGGTCATGATTTGCACCCCCGCCTCTTGGACACCCCCCTCTTGGCCGCTCGGGGCTCAAGAGGCGGGGGCCAATGCGAACGGGGGTTAGTCGCAGGATCTTGCAGGATCCTGCGCAACCAGGGGTGCACTCACCCGGGCTGGCGTGAAGGATCTTGCAGGGCCATGCGTGGTTTCGCAGGAGTTTGCGAAGCCCGACTGGCCCGTGTTTGCATGATCCCGGGTCAGTCGATTTCCGGTCGAGGCGGGACGACGGTCGGCAGGCGGCCGTTGGGGTCTGGGCTTCCCAGATGGGGTCGGAGCAGATGGGCAATGCTTCGCTTCTTTCGGCCTCTGTGGATCGTCAGGACAAAGATTCGGGATGAACGGCCTGTCCTTGTGGATGGGTCGAGACGTCGTATTGCAAGCATCCGGACATCGCATGTCTGGGGAAGTACCTCCCCCGAGATCCCCCAGGCCTCCCAGGTGGGATTGGAGCAGTTGGGGTCGAAGGATCGCGCCGCATGGCTGATGCATCGGCGATGCGGCTCGATGTGGATCCCGACTCACCTCGCCGACGTCGACGATGCATCGCCGATGCATTGCCGATGCATCGTCGATTCGGCGCGATCCTCCGACATCATGTGCTCGCACTTCATTTTGGGAGGTCTCTGGGTCGGCAGGCGGCCTTGCGGGGGCAGACGGCGTTCGAGGCCCAGGGCCCAGCGAAGGCCCCCAGAGGCCGAAGATTGGCCAAGCTCGGCTGCCACGATACGCCCGTGTAACACGTATGGAGGATGACGATTAATAAATGACCGGGGGTCGTGTTCACGCGGCGGCGCCCGGGATGACGATTAGAAAAAACCGGCCGCGGGCTGGATTTTTTGTTTTGTTTTTGCAATCGTTCTCCTGCTGTCAGAAAACTAGGCAGAAATAACAGAAAACTATGTTTTTAATCGTTCTCTCCAATTTTTTATTAATCGTCATCCCGCATTAGCGTTCTCAACGCAGGAGGGTTGGGAAAAAAACGAGTCTTCCGCCCCAAGAGGCCCCTAGGATGCCCCAAGAGGCGCCCAAGCGGCTCCTAGAGAACTCAGCGGCCTAGAAAAAGCCCCAGGAGGCCCCCACGAGGCCCCCACGAGGCCTCAAAACGGCCCCCAAGAGGCTTCAAAGCGTCCGTGTCGACGTGCTGCGTGCTGGCTCGGCGCGCGCTGGATCCTGGCTCGGCGAGCGCGCTGCGCCAGGCCACACGTGCGAGGCGCGGCGCGGCCGGAGGCCCACTTCACGATCAGAAAAGCAAGGAGGGCCGTCGAGAAGTCCATCGAACCCCTGGCAAGGGGCAAAGGCATCCTGGACCTGGCATCGCTCGGACGTGTGCATTGTTTCCTCGGCGAGAGCCATCGAGGAGCATCCTTGATCCTTTGGCGAAAAAGCCACGCAGGAAACCGAAAACTAACACAGGGAATGGACGTCCGAGCGATGGCGAGTGGATGAGAAGTTCCCCAGTCATGCTGAGTTGGCCGCTGGGACCTGGCAGCAAGCTTCTGGCTGGTAAGGAAGACCCGCCCTCTGAGCCAAGTGAGTCAGCGTCCAGTGCATCGGGAGGGCCAGGTAGGGCCTATCTGTCTGGCGACCGCCCCCAGAGGTCGCACACTGCCAAACACCTCGCGCGGTGATTACTCCGCGAAGGCGAGCTCGCGTTGCGAGGTTGCGGGAGGCCTTGTGCGGTCGCCCTCGGGGCTGCCGGGGCTCCCGGCCCAGCGGCGGGAGTGCACGCCCCGCAGGGCCGGGGCGCGCGGCGGCGCGGGCCGGGCCGGGCTTGCGCTGCTTGCTTTGGCTGCTGCCTTCACCTGCCCCTCTCCTCTGCTGCTCTCCTCTTCCACCTTCGCCGCGGAGCGACCTCCCTTGCGTTGTTAGTTATTGTGCTTGTTAATTTCTGGAAGGCATGAAACTCAAACACACACACCCTCTCCTCTGCTGCTCTCCTCCTCCCCCTTCGCCGCGCGGCGACTCCCCTTGCGTTGTTACTGATTTTGTTTGTTCCTCCTCGTGTTCGCCAAGGCAAGAAGTTCAAAGCAAAAGAACACAACACGCATCAAACGAACTAACAAGCACACAGAAGGCGTGGGGGCGTAGGCAATGCACGGCCCCGCGCGCGCTCAGCAGGCGGCCCCCCGCAGGCGCTCTGCCGCCCCCCCCTGGGCGGTCGGGGGGGGGGGAGCATCGCTCGAGGCGGGGCGCAGTCGGCAGGCAGCCGTTTTTGGAGGCGGAAGGCGCCCGAGGCGGAGGGAGCAGGCCCGGCTCCCTTCGCTCGGGGGTGGCGAAGAGGGGGGGGGGGATGGCTAGGGTGGGGGGGTCTCATTGCGGGGGCGGGGATGAGGCGGAGGGGGGGGAGGAGGAGGAGGAGGAGGAGGAGGAGGAGGAGGAGGAGGAGGAGGAGGAGGAGGAGGAGGAGGAGGAGGAGGTCCGTCGAGCACGTGGCAGCCGCGTGGGCCGCGCGCATGCCGCCGGCCACGTTTGGCGCCCCCCCTCGTGGCCGCCCCCGACCCGAGCCATGACAAAAGTCACGGCGGATTGCTTTTCGCTATTTTTTCCAGCTTCTGGGCAGGGCTCCTGTCGACTCTTTGGGTCGAGGGTGGACAGACCTCCTACCCTGACACGTCGATTAGTGAATCGGCCGTTTTCGGTTCGCGAGAGGGCGTCGCGGCCGTCATTTTTGCGGGTCCAGGTCCGTCGGTTTCGGTCCCAGGCCGTTTTCACTAAGGGGAGGTTTACTAGAGGGAGGTTTGTCCACCGCCGATTGGGTTCGATTCGATTCGATGTCGATGGCTTCCGATTCGGATTCGATTCGACCTCGGCTTCCGATATGGGCTCCGCTCTCTCAGCGGAGGCCTACTAGGCTGCCGATTTTCGCCGAGTCGACTTTTCCCTATTCGGCTGCCGATTTTCGCTGATCCGATTCATATCGATCGCCGATCCGATTTATCGATTCGCTTCTGGTCTCTCCTGCCTCTGGGGGCCCTAGCTGGGCCTCGGGACCGTCAACATCGGCGTCGAGCGAAGGGGGGAAGTGAGAAGGAAGAAGCCTTCTCAGTTGGCGGCGAGGCTTCTGAGAAGCCCTCGCGCCTTTTGATCAGTTTTCTGTGTCTTCGGGGAAGACTTAGGAAACTTCCCAGAAGGCCCGTGCCTTCTCACTTCCCCCCTGGGCTCGCTGCCGACTCAGGATGAGCAGCCAGTCCCCAGGAATGGGTCGAGACCTCTGGGTGGTAGGTTTCCCAGGTTCCCTGCATCGTGCTTTTCTCGCCACGTGGACCCCCTCGGGATCTGGACCCCTTCCTCGGGACCGACCGGCTTTTTGTCCCGGGTCGTTCTCGGACAGCCCCAGGGCCCGACAGGAGCCCCTCGGAGGCCGAAAACAGGGCAATTTCTCCGAATTCAATGTTTCAATGCGTTGGAAGTCTGGGCGGGAACCAGATGCGGGAACCTAGGAATCCTTAGGATTCCATTGGATCCCAAGGCCGTTGCCGCTGCGACTGTCATTGCGAATGCGACTGCGACTGCGAGAACAGCAGAATTCTACAAGTGGAGTATCACCCGAATCTTGAGGGGAATGCTTCCAGATATGCCTATACACATCGCTGTTAGGTTGCTTTGCCGGGATAATTCAATTTTGCAATGCTCGGGAGCCTCGAGACGGGGGTCAGTGCAAACGGGGGTCAGCCAGAGCGCCCCGACCTTGCAGGATCCTGCAGGGCCAGGGTCGCATTGACCCGGGTTTGGGTGCAGGATCCTGCAGGATCCTGCAGGATCCTTCGCATTGACCCGGGTTTGGGCGCAGGATTTTGCAGGATCTTGCAGGACTCTGCAAGGCATGACTGACCAGGGTCTGGATTGACCCGGGTCAGCAGGTCCCCGAAATGCGTTGGAAGTCTGGGCCCACTGTTCTTCTCGCTGCGGCGACAGAGACCACGACGGTGTCTCCGCAGCCATGGCCTCGAGGTGGCTTTGCGAGGTCGGCCGCGTGCCAGGGCGCCGGCGCTCCCGCTGGAGCGAGCCGCCACTGCCCCCCCCCCCCGCAGAAGGTGCGGACAATACACCTTATGCGATGCTTAAGAAAACCTAAGTTTTCGGCCAGAGTCTCGATTATTCTGAGCGTTTCAATGAAAATCCCAAGATTTTGATAGAGTTCTCGTTTTAATTCCATTTCTGAGACTATGAATTCCTGAACCCATGATTTCTTAAGCATTTCGCAGGGTGTAGTTCTATCCACATCCAGTGCGTCTTGGAGCCTTGGGCTCTCTCCCCCAGAAGCCGTAGGAACGCACTGAATGTGTCAGCCGCGCGCAGAGGGGGGTGGGGGGAGGGGGCAGGGCTTCTTAGAAGCACCCCTGCTTCTCAGAAGGCGCGGGCCTTAGCTATAGGTGTAAGGCCGGCGCCTTCTAAGAAGCAGCTGGCTTCCAAGAAGCCCTCCCCCCTGCCCCCACCCCCTTGCGCGCGCCGCCAGATATGGACAGAAATCTGGCCCCGAGAGGCCGGATTTTATCCATATCCAGTGCGCCTCGGCGTTGCGGCACCTCTTCCTAAAAAGTCCAGGACGCTCTGGGTGTGTATATATACATATATATGTATATATATATATATATGTGTATATATATATACATATATATGTATATATATATATATATGTATATGTATATGTATATATATATATATATGTGTGTGTGTGTGTGCTCCCCGCAGAGGGCTCCCTCCTCGGAGCGGCGCCCGCCCCGCGGAGGAGGCCCTCCGCTCTCTGCCGCCGCTCGCCCGTCGACCGGCGGGC